TTATCCGTATAACATGTAATTCAGCTTAATAATTAACCGACACCAGTGGAGTCCCTAGAATCACAAATATTTATCATTTTAGTGTACTTGGAAAAAGATTTATCATTTTAGTATTTCTTTTCATTTTTTTTATTACTTTTCAGCTTTTCTTAATATTTTTTTATTTTAAATATCCGATTTTTTTCCATTTCTCTTTTATTTTACCTTTTTACTGTTTATTATTTTTTTTAAAATAGCAATTTTTATTTCAATTTTCTTTCCTTTTTTTACTTTTTATTTAAATAACAAAATTTTTATATTTTTTATTTCTATTTTTTATTTTAAATATCCGTTTTTTATATAAACCTTTGATCATCAAGTTTTTGCAATCATAAATTAAACATACAATATATTTTAAGGTGCAAAAACTCCAACATTATACATACAATGTTTTTAAGGTAAAGAAACTCAACATTCTTTATTACAAAAAAACAATACAATTAAAAAAAAGTCCAACATTATTTGTTATAAAAAGAAAAAAAAAATCACAATTAGCTTCAACTTGAATCTATACCAAATCTTTACCTGTAAATAATAATAATAATAATAATAATAATAATAATAATAATAATAATAATAATAATAATAATAATAGCCACAGCAATACCATAAAAAATATTGACTTTTAATTACTTTGGCTTTTGATTATGACCCAGTTGCCTATAGATTCCACAAAAATTGACGTTTCTTCCTTCTTTTAATATCCATACCGTTTTTTTGTATTGTTGAATGAGGATGATATTCCATAATAGTTCTAAAGATTGACATTTCTTCCTTCTTTAATATCCAACCAGATTATATAGTTACTACGGAAGAAATGTCAATATTTATTACAGAATAAAAAAGGTCGTCCTCCTTCAACAAGACTAAAAAAATGGTATGGATATTAAAGAAAGAAGAAATGTCAAGCTTTGTGGAATTTGTAGGCAATCAGATCATAATCGAAAACGATGTCCGTCTAAGCCAAAATAATTAAAAAGACAATATTTTAAAGGCATTGTCCTGACTATTCTCTTATTATTATTATTATTATTATTTTTACAGGTAAATATTTGATACCAGTTCATGTTCAAGCTAATTGTGATATTTTTCTTTCTGTAACAAACAATGTGAGTTTTTTTTTAATTGTGATATTTTTTAACAACAATGTTGAGTTTTTTTATCTTGAAAACATTGTATGTGTAATTTTGAAGTTTTTGCATCTTAAAATATATTGTATGTTTAACTTATGATGGCTAAAATTCCATGGTCCATGGTTTGTATAAGAAAAAGGGATATTTAAAATAAAATAAATAGAAATAAAAAGGATAAAGAAAAATTGCTATTTAAAAAAAGTAAAAGGAAAAAAAAACAGCAGAAAAAGGAAAAAAAAAACTATTATTTAAAAAAAATAACAAAACAGTAAAAAGGTAAAACAAAAGAGAAAATGAAAAAGATGGATATTTAAAATAAAAATTTATAAGAAAAGCCAAAAAGTAAAAAATAAATGAAAAGAAATAAAATACTAATATGGTAAATATTTTTGAAAGTACACTAAAATGGTAAATATTTTCTTCAATCACCCTATTATGGTCAAAAACTTCTAATTAATATATTATTCTTATAATATATTAATAAATTATTTATTTTGATTTCTAATTAATTTATTAACTATATAGTAAATTAATAAATCAGTCTCTCGCTCTCTCTAAAAACTATCCTATTCAATTGCAAGGTTTGAGGGCAACTCAAAAGGACTATACTACCATCAATTCAAATTTATAACAATTATAGTTAATGGCTTAGACACCTAATCCAACAAATCCGACCTTTAAAAATTATCTTATCCCCATAACATGTAATTGCGCTTAATAATTAACCGACACTAATGGAGTCCCTGGAAGCACAAAGTAAGCAACATTCAAGCATTAGGTTCTAAACCAATGCACTGCCTAATCAGGACATTCTATATATTCATCTGAAATCTATACTAGCATATAGTTCTAAAGGCTTATACAACTTGCATACAAGGCATCTCTCCTAACATGCTACCATGCAATTACGAGCATACCCTTAGCCCTAATCTAGCATGCTATACACATATACATATTGAAACTATAAACATGTATGAGTATTTTGGGAAATACGACTTACTTGAGCTGAGCTGATTGCATGCATCACACCCCTTTTCTTTATAAAATTCTATTTAGAAAATTCATTTTCTTTCAAAAAGATTACTAATTCCTCGGTTTGAGTTCATACACACCCGAGAGAGTGCCCAAATCCCTCAAACCAAGGCTATGATACCAACTTATAACATCTCAAAAATTACTATGTAAAAATTTCATTTTAAAACCAACAAAAGCATCATTCATTCATTGCAAATCTATTAAAATGTAATAATGTATAAAATAGTTATCATAGTATAAATCATGACATAAAATGTAGAATGCTAGTGGGTGCGGTGCGATCATGTCGAACCCTTCCCTTTCGAACTGGAAGTACCTGAAACCATAAACATAAAACTATAAGCACAAAGATTAGTGAGTTCCCCTAAAATATTCCATACCAAACATACATAATATCTCAAAACTAAAATTGGGTCTATTTCACCCCTTTTCTGTATTTTTCAATTGGTACCGGGTCTATTTCATCTCCTTCGGTATCTTTCAGTCGGTATTGGGTCTATTTCACCCCTTTGGTATCTTTAAACTGGTACTGAGTCTATTTCAATCCCTACATATAAGCATACAATCATATCAGCAAAAGTCATAAAGATAACAAGCATATACAAGCATATCAACAATTATCACAAAGGCATTATCATCTTACAACCATAATTGAATGGACTGACATTGCTGCCACAGACCCACGAGTATAGTAAAGAGACTTACCTAACAAACGATGATCAACTGCTATTGCTCCTATTTCCACGAATACATATGCTACAAACCACCTATACAACCATACAATGTACAACCTTTGCTTCCATTCTAAAACTAAGGGTTGGACCAAAAGTCAAAGTCAATAGTCAAGGTTGACCCTCCACGTCGTGGTCATCCCTAACCATGTTGTGGCTTTCAAACAACAAAACAGTTGTGTTTTCCCTAGTTATCACGTTGTGGCAACCTAGGCCACGTCATGGGCACTAGGTTCAAAGTGTCTTAAAGGGTTAAGATGAATCATCCAATCCCAGAGGTTCCAAGGTCTAGATCTGATCATTATTATGGTTTAACTGGATAGAGTTTTTAACTTTATCCCTTGAGACCCTCCAAGAGGTCTAGATATCAAGTCTTAAGTATATAAAGCATAACTATAACATGGACTTAATCAAGAAGCACTTAATCCCTTAAGTCTCAAGCCCATTTGCTATAAAAGAGCTTATGACACTAAAACCATCCTAAAGATTAGTGCTTTTTAGACATGCATGTCTTGGACTCAAATTAGTTCAAATGGGGGTTTATGACCAAAATCTTATGCATGCCTCAAACAACCCACCAAACTTCAAATCAAAATCATGAACTACTCCAAATGTCCCATAGATTCATAAAGTTGCAACCTTTATGAAATCTCACCACCCCATCTAACAACATCAAGAAGAAAATAGGACAAAATACAAGATCTAACACTCTATAATCACAAAGGTGGAACCTTCAACACTTACAAGGGTCCAAAATTAAGCTACAAAGAGAGATAGGGACTCTTTTGCTGATCATTGGCTTACTCTTTCTAGCTTCTTCCTTGAAGACCTCTCAAAAACACTCAAGAAAGCTTCAACAATAGAGGAAAAAGAGTTAAGGTTTCTTCTGAGTTTAAGAGGGTGGTGGAGGCTGAAGGTGAGCAAACCTTAGCCTCCTCATTCCTTTAAATATGTGTAAACCTCGAAAAATTAGGGTTTAAGACATCAACAACGGCCACATCATGGCCTTCCTTGCCATGCCATGGCGAGTCCAAAAGACCCACGACAAGAAAATACCTCGCCACATCGTGGCCATCCTTCCCACGTCGTGACGACTCCCCAAATTCTAATCTTAAACTAAAATAAAACATACTTCAAAACCGGATGTTAAAATAACCTAACTAACTAACTATATATATATATATATATATATATATATATATATATATATATATATATATATATGGGAAAATTGAATATACCCTTAAGCGTATATAAGCTTAGGTACCCAAACTCATAATAATATGTCGTTTCGTTTGATATATTATTATACTATTGTTAAACTTCAATCCTTAACTTGATTTATATTCAATATTTTTAAATTTTCACTATTATCTTCCTCTTACATCACATCTTTTTGTCGAACACTTACTAGGCTATATATATTGTTGTTGAAAATGACAATTATGTAAGAAGACGATAAATATGAAATTTATAAATTTTTTTGAAGTAATTCAAGTTAGAAGATGAATTATAAGAACATTGCACTACTAGAAAAAAGACCTTTAATGACGCGCTTTTTATGACACGCGATAATTAACGATACGCAAAAGGACGTGCCCTTAAAATAGTGTCATCTCTCCAAAAAATTGAAGGATTTACGTCACGCTTTATTACGTGCCCTTAATTTAGTGTCTCAAGAAAAAAAAATTAAAAACACGGAGGGCGCTTTATCTTAAACGCACGTCGTCTGTACCTGTCGCTTTATAATTTTAATGAAACGCGCTTTTAGTAGACAAGGGGGGAAATGAAATCCCCAAAATTTTGAAAACCCGCCTTTTTTTTCTATCTTCTATCTATCTTTCATCTTCAACCTAACAAGGACGAGCATTGCACTCTTGATTTCCCTAACTCTTTCTCATTTTCTTATTAAAACTTGAAAGAATCGAAAAAAAATCTATCAATTTTGAAGTGTAAAGAATCACAACAACCAACTTCATTACATCTTCATCTTATTCACATTACCACTTCGAATCTCCTACCCTAATTTTCCCTCAGCAACAATTCTAGCAGCTTCGCAGACATGGCTCAAAAACCTAGATGGGGCGAATTGGAGGAAGAAGCTGATGGCGGTGATTATGACTATTTGTTGCCACCGAAACAGGTTATTGGACTCGATGAACACGGGTTGAAAGTACAAATTCAACGACGAAGGTAATCGGGTTAAGATTACCACCACCACACGCATCCATAAAATCGCTAATGCTCGGCTGAGCAAGCGCGCCATGGAGAGGCGTTCTTGGCCTAAGTTCGGTGATGCCGTTCAAGAGGACATCGGCGTCAAACTCACCATGGTTTCTACCGAGAAAATCATCTTTGAACGACCAAGGGCTCCAGGTACGTCATCCCTAGATCTGAAATTTCAGATAATTGTAACAATCCTTTATAATTATTTATGTGCAATTATTAAGACATATGTAGTTGAAGATTTAGGGCACTAATTCTTGATTGAAGTGACCGATTAAGATGAACGCATTCAATTCTCTCTTTTTCTTTTATTTAACAAGTTCCACCACATATGAACTTCATATGTGGGTTGCCCTGTTGCAAAGCTTGAAGGATGGGGACCTAAACGTGGGAGGAGAAACAAGAAGTAAGTTTGATTCTCTGTATCACAAGGCAATTGGAAGCATTTAAGCTTGCTTTAACCAGGTCATCATCTTTTTCCAACATTCTAATATTCTAAATTGTTTATGGAATTAGAAAATATACAAAATAATTTTTTTAAGCTAATATTTTATCTTATTACTATCAGGTTTTTTAGGCTTCAAGTTTACAAATATTTTCTACAAGTGAGTTGGATTATTTACTCTGTGGGCATAGATTCATTCTTGAACACTAAGTTGACCTCCTGAGGAAACTAGAGGAAAAGTAGTAGGTAGATTCATTCTATATCTTATATATAAATTTGTTACATGGGACATGGGTGTTTGAGTTTTCTAGGGCTATTTTTAACTTTTTCTAAAACTTACCCTAAGTTCTACTCTTGTTCTAATGACTAGCTCTGCTGAAGCAACAAGGTGCTTTTGCCAAAGGTCAGACAAAAACGGCTCCTGTAGAGGAGGAAGTTCCACCTTTGCTTGGAGAAAATGGAAAAATTGAGGTTTCAGATCATAAACTTGTTGCTACATTTAGATTTAATGTAGAAAGATAAAATAATTGTGGGCGCTTTAGGTATGGCGTATTGATGGTGAAGAAAAGACGGAATTACCCAAGGAGGATATTGGAAAATTTTACAGTGGAGATTGCTATATTTGTCTTTACTCCTACCATTCTGATGAAAAGAAAGAAGATCACTACCTGTGCTGTTGGATTGGGAAGGATAGCATCCAGGTAAACTAAAACCATATTATTTCTTTTCTTTTTTTTTTTAAGAAAAAAAAATCTTTAATTGTGTATTTGGGATGAAGACTTGTTATGTTGTCTGATCACAGGAGGACCAAAAAACAGTTGTTCAACAAACTACTTCAATGTTCAACTCTATGAAATGCAAACCTATTCAGGTACCATAAATATAATAGCTTTTTTTACTTGTTGCACTGCTGATTATATATAAATTTAGTTTTGAAATATTATTGATCTTACATCTTTATTTACTTTTATACCCCTTTCCAATCCTTGATAATTTATTCAACTCTTTTTTCTTATATCTTTAGTCTGGAGTACCTGTAAAATTCTCTAGAGAAGGAAAAGAGAGCTTAGCTTTCTGGCTTGCACTTGGTGGAAAACAAAGCTACTCAAGTAGCAAAGTAACACAGGAAATCATCCGTGAACCTCACTTGTTTGAAGTAATAAGCAATAAAGGTTTCAAAACCATAAACCATCATCTATCTTTCACATGTCCATTTTTGCTGATTATATCCACCAACTGTTTTTATCATCTTATTTTCCTCTATAGGAAAGTTAGAGATTGAAGAAGTTCACAGCTTTGAACAAGATGACTTGTTTCCAGAGGATGTATTGATATTAGCTACATGATTTTTAGGGAATATTTGAATGAAGCAATTACAGAAATATTGCAGAAATCCCAACAAACATTATTTTTAAAGGATTTTGATGGAATGGAATGACTCTCAATTGGTATTCTGTTAGAGTGATTTTTCTTGCATCATTTTCTGAAGCACTTAAGTACCATGATTTTCACCATCTTTACCACACATTTTTTTTTCTTTCTGAAAATGTAGCAGAAAATGAGGAAGAAGAGAAGGGCAGAATGGTAATTCATGCCATAGAAAGGGCAATGGTGTTAGGTTGAGAATTTTAATGGGGTTTTCATTGTGGAAAGGTATGAATGTCTACTACATTTTTTCTTTGTTTTCCTATCCTGATTCTGATTTTATGTGAGTTGTTTATCCCATTTTGTTTGATGTTGTCATGAAATGTTACAGCACGTTGCTGCAATCTGTCCTTATCTTATAAAAATCATACAAGGCCATCAGATTGTCCAAAAATCATGAAGTATAGTTTTCTGGAAAGGTTAGTGTATCTAGTTTCACTGAACTTTGGACCACTTTTCCTAATTCCAATTCCTTTAAGGGTATAAGTACCAATCTTTGCAAACTGGTCCATGCAGCCCACTGTTTGCATCAATCAACTTCGAAAATTCATAATAAATTCATAAAGGCTCCAAATGCCATGAGGTAAAAGCCTATAATCAGGTATGGAAGTCTATTTTCATCCTTACCAAGGGCTTAACTTAATTCCAATCACAAAAGTTCAGCTTAGTACAAGAGTGCAAACTAGCCCGAAAATTCACAAATTTCATGTGCTAACTTGTCATGTGCACAAGTAATTCTACAAAGCATAATTTATGTAACAGTGAAAATGATCCAACATTCCATTTGAAGTGTTTGCAGATCTTCAAGTGAGTAAATATCAAGTGAATTTTGAAAGCCATGTTATATATACACATTCCTTTATCTGTTTTGTTTCATGTGTGACACATACACTTGAAAGCTTTTACCTTTTCATAGAGGTATGCAAGATTAGTTTCCAAAGATTTTGCGCCCAAGGTACCCTTTTGTGTTCTTTAAGTATTAACACTCCTTGTGAAATATGATTTTAAAATTTTCAATAATTGATTTTCTTTTTTCTTGGATCTGACAGTGGGATATTCCAAATTTGGATATTCCTACTTCTAAGCCTAAACTAAACTTGCCCACAGCCTTGAGAGAGCTTTCATGTGAACTTTATAGGTTTATCATAGGAATGTCCGAATGACGGTTATGCCCTTCCTACCATAAAAAGCCATTTATAAATTGATTTTTATATCATGCAATTTATCTTACCTAAAAATTTCAATTTTGGGATTTGTAAATTTAGTTTTTTAAGGTGATATATTCAAGTTTACAAAAGATGATAAATGATGATGGGTTTCAACGAGCACTTTATATGATTGACATTGGCCAAAATGACATTGTTGATGCGTTTGCCAATAAGTATTCATATGCCCAAGTTGTAAAAAGAATACCATTAGTTCTTGCAGAAATTAAGAATGCCATCAAGGTGATATTAAATTGTAAAAAAAAACGCAAAAATAGCCCAAACAGTTAAACTTTTGACTCATTTCAATTTTATATTTATTTTTTTTGTCCAGAGTATACATGATAATGGTGGCAGTAAATTTTGAGTTCCTAACATTGATTGGTTTCTTGTTATGCTCAAATCTTAATAGCTATCATGCCAACCTTCAACAATAGTTTTGGATTGACAACTTCTAGCAGAAGATATCGCATACGTGTTCTTGTGCTGTTATTATGGATTCGGGAACATCCTTGCTTACTAGTCCAACTGTATGTATCTCACGTGAAGCTTCTATTAGTACTTTTAATCTCAGGGATTTCAATTTTTTCATATTTCTTGTATAATAAATATTATGAAATATTAGCAATGTGTTACATTTACTTAATATTGGAATGATTATTTGTATTTGATATATTAGTGCAATGAATTATTCTTAGTGTTTATGGTATTTTATTTTGTATTATTAGACTTTTAATGTGTTATTTAATTTGAAAATTAGTAAACCTATCAAAAAATATATAATTTTAAAAATATTTAAAATTATGACACGCAAAATGCGTGTCGTCTTCCATTAGGACAAGGGCTTCCATGATACGTAAAAATGTGTGTCATCTTCATTTATGACATGGCCTTTCTTGACAGAGGGCTTCCTTGATACGCATTGCGTGTCATAAACATGCGCGTCGTAAGGTTACGACACGCAAATGCGTGTCGTCTTCCTTTATGACATGGCCTTCCTTGATACGCATTACATGTTATAACCGCGCGTCGTAAATGCACGTCGTCTCTCTTTATGACAGGGCCTTCCTTGACACGCATTTGCGCGTCGTCTGAGCGTTTTACGACGCGCAATGAGCGTCGTAAAAAGCCTTTTTTCTAGTAGTGTTGAACAATTACAATGTCTATATATGATACAAAACGATGTAGTATAGTGAGTTTGGGTACCTAAGCTTATATACCCTTAAGGGTATATTCACTGTTCCATATATATATATATATATATATATATATATATATATATATATATATATATATATATATATATATATATATATATATATTATAAATTAATATTGTAATGTTGCATTTATAGATTAATTGCCAAAGTTTTTATTTTAACTTATCTTTGTAATTAACATATTTATGTATTGTATTATATAATTACACATTTAAAACATTAAGAGAAACTAGGGAGTTTGTATCTGTGTGTATTTTATTTATAATACTGTATGTGTGTATATTTTATTAACATGCTGCTAAAATCTTAAACCCCTTGTCTTCAACATCAAGTGAAGGTAATCTCCCTACTTAATAAAAGAGTAGCACATTTGTCACATGTCAATCAATTAGAGCTTCACATTAATTATTTGTCACTTGTCATTCTAAGGTTTTTCCTCATTAATTAAATTTCCATTAATTCACTCCTCCATTTTACACATATCAAACATGTCAACAAAAAGTCTCCCTACCTAATAAAAGAGTAGCGCATTTGCCACGTGTCAATCAATTAGAGCTTCATATTAATTATTTGTCACTTATCATTCTAAGGTTTTTCCTCATTAATTAAATTTTCATTAATTTACTCCTCCATTTTACACATATCAAACACGTCAACAAAAAATTTATTTGTAATATCTATTGCCTAATTTATTAAATTATTAATTTTTTTTATCATTGCTCAATAATTACCTTATAATTTAATTAAAATTATTTTTACCTTGCTAATCCGTAATGCCCACGAGTTATAAACTAGTATCTTATATTTTAAGTTATGTTTTTCATACTGTTGCTACTTAAGGAGTTGTAAAAAAACTTTTGATGACATGGTGAAAATGAACTTAAGCATTTAAGGATGCACCGCATAGAGGGTAGGGTATTGTTTTAATAGTACCAAGAGGTAGAATATTTCTCTTACTTGAAAAATTGTAATAAGTTGTTTTTTATATGGTTTTATTAAAGCATAAACTTTATCAAATAAATAGTAACAAGGTAAATTTTAATATGTTGCACAATTGAAATTTTATTCGATTTAACTGGTAAACCGAAACCAAATAACCCAAAACCGATTAATCTGAACTTGATTTGGTTTGGTTATGATTAGTTTTGAAATGTTAAAACATGAACAAAACCGAACTAATTAAATCTAATACCGACTAAACCAACCAAATAACATCTCTACCCATGATTAGAGTGTCATCTTGGACATTTAATTCGTATTTGCAACCTAGCTTAGATCATCAGATATGGGCTTTTAAAACGCCGTTATTACCTAACGTGGTTGACCACAATGACATCTTAACGAGAAGAACACCGACCCGACTTCTCATTATGGAGCATTCGGTTATAACGACAACGAGCTGAAACAATGACTTTGATTGGTTGATCGTTTTTTATCAATTGGGTTTGACCATTGGGGTTTGAAGCGATATGAAAAAAATTAAATTATTCTTTTACCTATAAATTTATAACAAGTACATTTTTCAATTCACACAATGCCCCTCTTTCTCAATATTCTTTACTATTTCAAAACTTTTCAAAAAAAGTTGGATCATTTTGAATCGTTCAACGATGACGGTGATTATATATTCATTAGGGATGTGCAAAAAACCGCATAAACCGCCCACACCGCACCGCATAATGCGGTTTAGAATTCTGCAGTGCGGTTTGTGGTTTATAGTTACCAAACCTCAGTTCAAAACGCACCGCATCGTATTAATAAAAATTATATATATATATATATATATATATATATATATATATATATATATATATATATATATATTCCAATCACCAAATACTTTATACAGTTGAATAACCTTTTTCTATATCACGATGGTGAAATATAAGAATTAAAGACTTAAAAGACTAAGATATCAAATTTCATAAGTCACAACAACTTAGCAAAACATTTTGTGGTATTTTTGTTTGCAATATCTATGCTTTTTAAAGGGTATGCAATATAAATAATAAATTTTGAAAGTGTTTAAATGGAATGAATAACAACAAAGTTATAAATTGGAACAATTTATCATACCGCATAAATCGCACAAACTGCCCGCATGAAACCGCACCACATAATGCGGTTTAGAGATTTCGCAGTGCGGTTTGCGGTTTCCAAAAAACTTAAACCGCATGTGCGGTGCGGTTTGCGGTTTCAACTCTAAACCACACTAAACTACACCGCGGACACCCCTAATATTTATCACTATGATGTATTAGTATTGTACCAACGAGCTACTACAATCATACCAAACCCCTCTACTAACAAGATGTGATATGTTAAATAGAAATCACGAGGCATGACACAAACGTCTATATCGTGATTACTTTGCGGATAACTGTGTATACGGATGGAAGGAGTTTAAAAGAAGATTTCGTTTGAGTAGGAATGGATTCCTACGGATCGCCAACGTCTTGGAAAATTGGTATCGTTTCTTTAATTTTAATACATATTTGCCATATTTTTATAAAATATAAATACAAATTTACTACATGTACAATATATTTTTTAGTACAAATTTACTA